GCTTACCTTAATATTATACTCTACACCATCTTTTAAAAGACTGATTTTGGAGATTCATATTTGACTCTTTTCAGTTGAATTGGGCTACTTTTTAACCATTGATTTCAGTGGCCAAATGTACCTGAAGCATATTTAAACACTGTACAAATACTCTATATTCAGCACACATGGTTTGTGGAGACCCTAACTAGAGGCTAATTCGCTCTGAATGTTCTTGTGCTTGGATTGATTGGTCCACTGGAAGACATGTCATCCTCAGGCCGTCTGGAGCGGATTAGGGATGATGTTCTTGTGCAATACGGTGGGCATACAGGGAAATCCAGGTTTACTTCACTAGGAGGATTATTATAGTGTGCAGTATTTAATATTAATACACGGCATTGCCAGTGGCGAGTGATGACTTCTTTAAAAGGGTATGCTAAAATATCTGAAGATATGTTTTCTGTGGACTTTCAAAATTGGCTTTGCTTGAGAAAACATGAAAATATACAGTTAAAACTTTTTTTAAATTTGATTTAGAGTTTTAGATTCGCATCAAATACAATGTGATTTTTGGTAATTGAGATCTGGCAGCAGCCGTGCATTTTTCCGCTTGGAGCAATTCGTGGACAGCTTTTCTTGTGCATGAAATCACACACATGCCAGCAAACCAATGAGAACATGGAGCAATACTGACGATTTGTAGCAATAGAGCGTAGGCGCCAAAGCTGTTGGGGATCCGCTCACCCGAATCTCTCCGTAACTGGCACAGATTTGCAGAAAATTACCGTCGTTTGGCAAATAAATCATTTACAGATGGTCACATACATAAATGCAGCATTTTATTATGTAAGCTTTATGTTACACGTAAAATCACAAGGGAATTTATAGTAATGTTAATATTACTGAATGGTTTAGCACCTCAGTATTTGAACGAGCTCTTGTTACGTTACAGTCCTCCACGTCCGCTGCGTTCTCAAAACTCTGGCCATTTGATAATACCTAGAATATCAAAATCAACTGCGGGCGGCAGATCCTTTTCCTATTTAGCGCCCAAACTCTGGAATAACCTACATTACATTGTTCGGGAGGCTGCACTCTTTAACTGAAAAATGAGTGTTTACTATTGTCATTTTGCATTATTGACACACTATTTTCCTAATTAATGCTGTTCAGTTGCTTTGTCACAATCTGTATTGTTAAAAGCGCTATATAAATAAAGGTGACTTGACTATTAATTAGCCAGAATTTAAGCTGTTTAGTCTTTTGTTAAATAGCTTTACTAAATGTATGACATCATCTCTCCAGGAAGTGACATCATTTTGGTGGCAAATCAACAGCAGAAGCATCAGGACGTGTTACCAATGGATTTGTTACCAGAATTCTGTGAGTTTGTGTGCTTTCATACTGTAGAAATACTTGGTTAAACACAAGCATATTAATTTTAATTTTTAGGTTACAGAATTTTAAAGTTGCTGCATAACAAAAATGACCCAGTTATCATTATCATTTTAAACTGCAGAGCACTATTTTTGCATATTATATTATATTACATTTCATTATACAACTTTCAGAAATCAGTGGCAGTTTTGTCCATGTTGATGCGTAACTGTGCAACTTCTTATAAAATTGATTGTTTGAATACAATGCTTGGATACACACAAATTACAGAATTCAAAAGGTGCCATTTTTGAATGTTCTGAATTTTATTTAGAATTCAAAACACTATTTATGCACATCTTAAAGTGCCCCTATTATGCCATTTTTACAGAAATCATTTTAATATGCTGATTTGAGCTCAAGAAACATTTCTTATTATTATCAATGTTGAAAACAGTTGTGCTGTTTCACACAGGAATTCAGGAATTGAACTGGAATTTAAAAGCCATTCTCAATTGACAATTGGCTGTGAATCTAATCTGCCATCTTTCTAGCTACTTCAAATCCACTTGAAATATAGTACCTGGATGCAAGTGAGCTAATTATGCCGAGACAAAGAATACAGACTGGATTAAAATCTTAAACCGGGTTTGGAGTTCCCTTCAATTTCCATTCCAGGATGCCTATTGTCCATTACTAAGGATCCAGGACCCTAAAGGTGACCCTAACATGATTCAGTTAGACAGCACTCCCATCTCCAGATTGTTATGCAGTTTCTTTACAGGTTGATAATCCAGTAAAACTATATTACTGCCCATGCATGAAAGGAAGGCCTGCAGTGGGGCCGCCCATATTTACATGCACGTTTTTATCCATATTTGCAGCATATCACTTTTGCAGTGATAAACAATAGCTTTCTTATCAATATTTTCTTCACAATGTCTATGTTTGCATTTCCACACTAGCTGCTTAGACAGAGTTTCCTCTAACAGCTGTACCCTTGATCTGAGCACGTATCCTATGATACAAATGTCCAACACAGACCCTCCTCGTGGCCATCAGGAATCCCCCTGTGGACGAGCCTGTGCTTTATTCCGAGCTCCAGTTCTCCTCACGGGTCCCCAGGCACCGCCGGGGTCATGGCAAACCCAGGCACGGTGTCAGCAATTCATCTGAGATGCCAGGAGTTCATGATACACCTCAGCTCAGGAGGAGATCCACACATGATGGGGTCACGGAGTTCACAATAACTAGAGACTCTGGCTGTCAGGCTCAACACACTGTTTTCTTATAACTGGGGGGATGCCATAGACTTCTGTTGTTTTTATATAAAGCTTATTGACTTACAGGCTGCCTAAAATGATTTTTTTCTAGAAACTTAAGAAAAGCAGATGTCTCCTAAAAGAGGTTTTGTCAGGTTTACCTCACTCCTGAGGACAGTAAATCCACACACGGATAAAAAATAAATGCAACGCTTCAACAACCTGATTAAAAACTACTGTGATTTTGTAGCCTGATTTAGAGAAGCTACAATATGAAATCCATCCAAATATTTGTGCTGCTTGCTGGTAATTTTCAGTAGACCGACTAAAAATTCTGAAAGGCCAGTTTCGTTTCGCGCATGCGCACTTCTATACTCGATATAATTAGAATGACGGGCGTGCCTACTAATAAGAACCGTCACAAAGGTCAGAAGACAAAAACCGGTTTAAATTAAATCGATAAATTATAAATAAATCCTTATTAAGTCCATATTAAGTGACGATAGATTATTACAAACTATATTTCGTGTATAAACGTAAGTTTGGGAAATAATTTCTGTATAATAATAATAATTTTCTTATACAACATAATCAGTTTTACGTGTTATGGGCAATTTTTTATTGTAATCATTTTTTTTCTTTTTTATATACGCTTCGTCTTTAATTTTCTCGACTGGAGCTTTCATTTGAAAGAAAACGCTTGCTGAAAAAAGTAAGTTGGTCAGAAAAAAAGCATGTTTTACTTAGCCTTTATTAAGCTACTTCTTCAATATTGCAAAGATATCAGTGCACAAGTATTATGCATTATATATAAAACATAATAGATTTATACACCATCATAAATAAAAACGTAGCTTTGCTGCCTGTATCTGGAATATAAAAGATGAACAAGCAGAGATATGAGATATGGCAATATCGAAATCCAGCACATGTGCTGTCCAATTCAAATGAATCTGGTTTGTTTGAAGGCTGATCTGAGTGATTTCTTACAACAAAACACATCTCACATGTCCAGGTTATCATAGGTCTGGGAATTAAGAACAGTTTTGTCTGTCTCCATCAGATAAAATTACAATGTTTCTGATCAACATAAGCCTTTACAGCCCAAACGATCTATCTTTTTTCATATTCAAAACTCGTCCAGATATGCGAGTTAGCCTACCTATTTTAAAAAGTGGCATTTTATTTATTTATATTTACAAGATATGACACTGCGAATATATATTTCTGACTCGATTCAAATTTAACTTTCCCACGAATGTTTTATATTTTATAAATGTATAGGCTATAGTAGCCTATTTTATGACCTTGCTGAAAGCAAATAAATGTTTCGTCTAACTATGGCATATGAACGTCAATAAAATTCCCAGTATGGAGTTCTATTTAATACTACCTAAGTTTTAATCCATGCAAAATTAATTAATAAACCTATAGCTTATCTAATGATAAACTACTGCGTATTGTGTTGCTTTGCGTGTTAAACTGCATGTGAATTAAATTACTATATAGCCATTTTTAAGCCAATAATAAATTTTGTGTAAATATTTAAAGCCACAGTGATGAATAGCCTATGATATAATATAATATAGATTTAGAAAAAAACGTTTTGTAGCTAAAATGATCTCCTACTTTAAGGGAGTATTGTTTTAGTTTCTTTACTTCAACAGTTTCTATAAAAGATATCAAACTATTTTAAAACAGTAGCGCTGTTCAAGCATGACAAGACCGCAGCTTTACGAAAATGAACATCAGTTGGTTTTCTCAAAGTTATGAAAACTATCTTTATTAGCAAAAGTACAAACAAAAGCACATTTACGCACGAAATGATTAATGAAAACTGTTTAATCAAATGTTGCATCGTACATCAAATCCAACAGCCCCCCCATCGCCCACCCTGACAGCCCAAAAAAAATCATCTGCAGGTTTGAAGTGTAACATTTTATACCGAGATAAATGTTGGAAAACACACCAATAATATTTCTTGTCGAGCCTCAGAAAAGTATAACCTTAAGTGCTGTGGTTGACTGTTTCGATCATATGTACATGAGCAGGAAAATAAATACAGCAAAATAAATAATTGTTAAATCCATTGTCTCCGCTTAAAACAAAAAAATATTTTTTGTTGTTTACCGTTTTTATGGTAACACCAGTTATTTTTTACATTTGCATACATTTGCATTTAAAATGGACAGTTACACTGAAGAAATGAATCAAAAGTTATTTTATTAAGTATTTTTATGTCACATGTCATGGTTTACTGCTAAAAGATCAGGAGAAAGAAAGTAGATATCTTCACATTTTCACATTTCATAATTTCTATATAAACCGACACTTAAGAGTTTCTGCATCCTCTGTGACTGTTTAGTTTTTTATGTCTGTAAATGCTCACCAAATGTCCCCATCTTCATCTTCCTCTCACTGAATTGACATGTAAGGCCAGTTGAAACTGCTCCCAGATAGCAGCATATCCCTGATGAGCGTCTCAATGGGCGTTTTACCCACAAGTCGAACGAAGAAAATCTGTTCTATGACGGAGGAGGACACCATCCGGAGCGCGGGGAGTCTCAGCAGAAGCTTGCCGAAGCGTGTGGGCTGGTTCGGGTACTGACTCCTCACATACTCCTCCAGAGCACACTGAGATTTCTCCTGAAGACCTTCTATGTGCGGCACGTCTGAAAGGCCGCATGCATCTGCATACAAAATGAATATAGCCATTAAACACGCATCATTCAAAAGAATAACATCTCTGACATGTTTACATAAATCTTCAGTGTAAATATGCACTATATTTAACATGGTTCAGAAAAACTGCAATCGTACAATATAAAGCGTTTGCATTCATTTCTTTTCTTAGTGAAACACAGAATTAATTCATTTGAAAATCGGATTGTCTCAGTCAAAGGAGTTTGACCCACAACCTAAATTAAGTCAGTAGACAACTATTTTTCATTCAAGAAAGCATTAGCCACGTTAAACGAATGTAGGCTACATCTCAGCTTCATTTCTTAATGTTTCTCATTATTTACGATTAAATACGCATGGATGCAACGAATTAACGAAACGAATTAAGCTCTGAATGCTGCGTTGTTTGTATAGGATATATTCAAAAAGTTTAATAGAAACTTCTTAGAGAGTAATTAAAACAATAATAAGAGGAAACTCCTCAAAATAACAGTTTGGGACACACTTTTTTCTTTTTGGAATATTTCACTGTTCTTCAAAACGGGTTATACTTTAGTAAAAACAAACATCAGCGTGTGACTTTTAAAGGGTCCCTTTTTCTATCAATACAAAACATTTTATTTATATTTGAGGTGTGTACATTTATAATACAATTAAAAATAAAACTACATCTGTTTTGTCCATGAGTCCTATTACTGAAGCGAAAAGCCCGTGTACTCCAATGTCGGCGTACTGTTGCTATACGCTCTAAAAAATGCTGGGTTAAACACAACCTAGTGCTGGGTAAAATAGGGACAAACCCAGCAATTGGGCTGTTTTGACCCAGCGGTTGGGTTAAATGTTTAACCCAACCTTCTGGGTAGTAACCCAACCACTGGGTCAAAACAACCCAACTGCTGGGTTTGTCCCTATTTTACCCAGCACTGGGTTGTATTTAACCCAGCATTTTTAGAGTGTAGTAACGCCCTAGTCTTAGCGAGTTTCTGTTTAGCGCGCTCTGCTTAAAACTTGGACTCGAACTTTGGTTACGTAGGCTAAACGTTGTTTGAACGTTGTTTAAATGTTGTGAAAACGTAGCCTAATTATATTTGAGAAGGCCGTTTGATTTTGACCCTTTTTGACGGGATTCAAGTCTTAATGGGGGATGGGGTTGTGTAACATTTCCATCTAATATAGACCGCACTTTGCTAATTGTTTTAAATTATGAAAGCAGTTCATACATTTATAGGCCTATGCTCAGTTCTGAAGGACAATACATTTAATATTTGTAGGCCTACTTTTTTTTTAATTACTTTGCCACAACAAAGGAACTTTTCAAATGAACATTTAAACCTCAAATATTAATGTTGCTTAAATATATATATATTATATATATAATGTGCACATTATGTATATAATAAATATATATATAATGTGCACAGATGTAACTTGTCAAACATGATCTAATTTAACTATTATTACTGAGTAATGCTGATTTTATATTCTTATCCAAAATTATATGGAACTACCATTCAACCTACACGCCTTTAATCTGAATGTGCGCAGATGGTATTTTTGACAGATTGAAACAAACTTTGCGGAACAAATAGGATTATGTTATAGACAAGCTCATTAAACTGTACATTACTTGATCTTGAACGATTCGGGCCTACCTGATGTGAACAGCACTATTGCTTTGGCACAGCTGTATTCGGCGGAGTCCACCTGCAGGGCCTTCAGTTTCTCCACCTGCTCCTGGAAGAATCGGATATGATCCATGAAGGCCACGACCCGGTCCGCGGACATCGGGGACGCGTGAAGCCCAGCGGCGGCGAGGAGAGGAGCCACGTGGAGAGGCATGGAACACTGCGCAGCGTTCAGCACGAAAAGTTCGCTCCAGGTGAGTCTCAGAAGAGACACCTGATCCGTGATTTGGAGATCAGGAAAGAAAGGGATGTTCCTGGCCCATTCCACCGCGCTGAAGAGCAAACGGGCCGCCAGCTCGCAGATGTTTTCAATGCCCATGATGTTACCCGACTGCATGCACTGGTTTCCATATCTGGAGGCTGGATATGGCTCGGCCCGAAGCAGGAGAGATATGTATCCGGATAGGTAGCATTGGCCATTCAGCGGATCTGCATTGGTCAGCGCGTAATGGCTCGGGTTTGGATGGTTCGGCGGCATTCTTCCTCGCTGAACCGCTATCAAAACAGAAATAGATGGAGAAGAAATGTGCATAGAAATCTATCTATCTATCTATCTATCTATCTATCTATCTATCTATCTATCTATCTATCTATCTTATCTATAAATAAGGTTATATTATTACATGCAGAATAATTTTAAAATGCTTTTTAATTGTAGTTTTATATTCAAAAGCTAAATCCTTAAATTGTATTGCTTTTGGCCTTGAGTTATACAGTATGCAAGCTATATAAAATGCATTAATGTTATGTTATATTCATTTTATAATATGAAAAAACACCTCTTTAAAAACCTCTCTGTATATATAATCTCTTTCTTTCTTTTTCTTTTTCTTTTTCTATTTCTTTTAAATGCATGTTTATGTATAGGCTACAAATGACAAAATCCACTGCACACTCACCTTCGCGTCTCATGCCCACTTTTAGGCATTTCTTCAGCCGGCAGTACTGGCACTGGTTCCTGTGGTGCTGGTCCACGGGGCAGCTTCTGTTAGCACGGCAATCTATCTATCTATCTATCTATCTATCTATCTATCTATCTATCTATCTATCTATCTATCTTATCTATAAATAAGGTTATATTATTACATGCAGAATAATTTTAAAATGCTTTTTAATTGTAGTTTTATATTCAAAAGCTAAATCCTTAAATTGTATTGCTTTTGGCCTTGAGTTATACAGTATGCAAGCTATATAAAATGCATTAATGTTATGTTATATTCATTTTATAATATGAAAAAACACCTCTTTAAAAACCTCTCTGTATATATAATCTCTTTCTTTCTTTTTCTTTTTCTATTTCTTTTTAAATGCATGTTTATGTATAGGCTACAAATGACAAAATCCACTGCACACTCACCTTCGCGTCTCATGCCCACTTTTAGGCATTTCTTCAGGCGGCAGTACTGGCACTGGTTCCTGTGGTGCTGGTCCACGGGGCAGCTTCTGTTAGCACGGCACGTGTAGGTTAAGTTCCGCCGAACGCTCCGCTTGAAGAAACTTTTGCATCCCTCACAGGTGAACTGTCCGTAATGCTTCCCGCTGGATTTATCCCCGCAAACCACGCATTCAATGTGCTGCTGGTTCTGCGCTGAGTTCTGTCCTTTATCCTCCGCGGAAGGCAGTCCGGTGTTTGGAGAGTGCGCGGCTGCGCTCATGCGGTGGTGATTGTGGTGGTCTCCCCCCGGTCCGCTCTGATCATCCAGAGATCCTGCCGGTGCCAGTTCCTCCTGCGGATCTCTCCACACGCTCACCACCATGGCCATGGCTGGACTGCGAACCTTTTACGCGTCTTCTCCAGAATTATTCAAGATGAAGAAGGCCGGTCGTGTTTTATCCATGCAGAAGAACCAATTGATATGGAAAGCGCATCGATGAGACTGGATATATGTGTCCAACAAGATCAGACAGTCAGATTGGATATAAAACAATCACGCCGGAACTCCGTGCTGGTGGTGACTTCGTGCGTAAAAGGGACAATCGGAAACCCCAAATGAATCAGATCCGAGGAGAGCAAAGACGAGGCGTAGCGCAGCCTTCTGTTGGCATGATTGACATGAGGATGGAAGACTTCAGCTTTAACTAAAAACAGGAGTATACGTGAGAACAGAGCTGAACGGACTCAACTTTAACATGATGCTGATCCAAATGACCACACCTTCACTTGGTCTTACGCGCTTCGGTGGTGGTCCATTGAATGGTCTGTATTATGGACCCCATCAGGTATTAAAGCACAGAAGTGGGCGGCTCCTTTAAGCACGGAAGCTCTGTTTGATTGGCCATTTAGCTCACATCCTTCCAAAGGCGGCTGGATGCAATTATGTGCTTCAAGTCACTTTTAGCAAACACTGAGACTTTTATGTATTTGTATTTCTTTCTCATATTGGATAAGAACAGGATTTAACATGGAACTGTTCAAAAGGTAGGTTGTGCTTTTTATCTTTACCACTATCTTTATTGAATTAATTCTCCAATCTGATAATCAGTGTAGATCATTTAGCATTTTTGCAATTGATTAGTACTGTAATTTAATCTAATGCTCACGAGTGTAGAAAAATAGAAGGACTGCCACCTAGTGTGAAAAGAAAAAAAATGTTATATTAAAGTCCAGTTCTTTAATATATAATATTATATATATATATATATATATTTTTTTTTTTTTTTTTTTTTTTTTTTTTTTATTAGATTGATTTAATACCTTTTAATTGTATTACTTAAAAATAATATTTTATATTATATATTTTATATATTTATTTTAAGACACTACAATATTTGTATTAACTTTTTTTGCCAGGCACTAGTTAATTTTGATATTTTGGCCTATATTGCTTCCATGACTTGTCAGAAATCTTTATTTCAGTAGCACATCAGACTTTACAGTTTTATTATGATCTATTTTCTGAAGGTTTTTACAGAGGTTTTTCATTTACCTGATTTATATAACATTTTGATACTAATAGTATGGTGAAAGTTTATTCTTGTTTTCTAGCTGACAGCTTTTCTGGTTTATGATTTATGAGTGAAAAAAAAGAGAAATCCAAAATCCCCTCTGTACAAAACCTTTAATATGTGAAAAAAAATTTTTTTTGAAACTGGCCAATACTGTTTAGATTTCTTTTCTGGAAATAAACGCAAATTAGCGCATATTTAATTAGATAATGCTTCATTTGCATATTTAAACAACATTTCAGAAAACATGTCAAACAAAACAATTGTCTTAATGTACTGTCAAAGTGTGGTGATATCTATTAGTTTTTGTTTTTTTTCATATTTACCTGCAGTGTCTTACCTTATGTACTGTATAAACAACCAAGGTATTTATAGGAGCAGCTATTCTAAAAATATTATTAACAACAGTGATTGCACTTTCAGTAGCAACTATTCTTTTCATGCATAATTCAGTGAGTTCAAGGGTCAACGTTTTGCTTTGAGTTGCTGATGAACCTCAAGACTCGGGATGGAGCAGAGTCATGTGATCGGTGGCATATTTGTGAACAGGTTGTAGGAGCCGCAGGTTAAAGGGTCAAAGCGATACAATGAGCAAAAACAAGGACAAAGCCCAGGGTCAAAGGTCAAAAGAAGGGTCACTACTGCAAAAACAAGAATGATATTTAAACATTATTATCTTAATTTTTGTACACATTTTTGCCAGGATTACCAGCTCTGTACTAATCTGTCAAACAAAATCAAGTAATATATATATATATATATATACACACAC